CAGTGTGTACTAGGAACCGGTCGACAGCGACGTCATTTGTGCGCGGCGTTCAACAACGAAAACAAAGAAAAACAACGTTAACAACAGGAGGATAGAGGACGCTGTGATCGGAGCTGTGTTTTTGTTGTGTCTCGCGGGTTTCACAATAACGGACATGGAAAGTCGACGTATACGTAAAGCGATTGAAAGAACGGAAAGGAGGACTAAGAATCTCCAACGACAACTGGCAGTGCTACATTTGCTACAAGTGCCTGCACTTCAGCGTCCGTCCATCTATCGCTGTTCTCCATACTTGCAAAATAAGTTGACACAATGTTTACAGTATGTTTACACTGCGTTTTAAATCATGGCGGGTGAGGGCGTTTTCGTACGCGTTTGGCCAATCAATGTCTACTTACGTCACGATTAGTACCAGTTGTGCTGGTTAGACCCTGCTCCGGAGTAGGAGCTAATTTGGTTCTCGAAAAAGGCAGTCCGGTACTAAAATCGCTCCCAGTTCCGGCGGTCCGAAAACGCCAAAAAGTGGGTAGTTCCACAATTAGTTCTGGTACTATGAAAAGGTTCCTGCGGTGCGAAAGGCCCTACTGACAGTAGAGTTCAGAGTCAAGAGTGCCCCAGTATGTCTCCTGGTTGAACTGCTGTAGACAACCTGCGGCTAAATTTTTTGAGCATAGACCTGCTGAGTCCTGGTTGAGGGCGATGAGCTACTCCAGCCAGGCGAGTAGGTGGCGTAGCTGGCCAAGCATATGGGCTGTAGATGGCAGGATGAAAGGGTATTGATGGAGGGAGGTGAAAAAATATAGACCAGTTGGAAATAGAATTGGAGGTTGAAGAAGTCAAAACTGCACCGTGTGAGGTAGTGGCGCTGAACGAGGCTTCTGCACTGTAGAAGTAGCTATTGAGAATTATTAGGAAGCACGAGAGCCATATTGCTGTAAAACGGCTGAAGGAGGGGTGGAAGAATGGATGTTGGGATGAAAGGATGTTTTTTGAGTGGGGTTTTTTTTAGGAGTATTGAGGATGGAAGGGTATAGGTGGAGGGACGGGGTAGAATGAGGGAGGGAGGGAGGAAGGGAAGGGAGAGAGGGAGGTGGAGAGAGGACACTGAATAAGGCATCTGGAATTTAGAAGTAGCTATTGAGAATTATTAGAAAACACGGAGGCGTATTGCTGATTGTTTGTTGTTTATTTACTTCTTAACACCATTCCAGCATCTGTGGCTATATTCATGGTGAGGACCAGTTAATCCATACATAAATCAATCCGTACACAAATCTGTTATACACACTAGTCGAGGGGGAACAACTTAGAATGTTCAATTTAACCAACCTGCATGTCTTTGGGCTGTGGGCCGTATTGCTGTAATCAGCTGAAGGGAAGGGTATAGGAATGGATGTTGGGATGAAAGGATGTTTGTGAGCGGGGTTTTTATGAGCAACTGAGAGCATAGAGAAGAGAATAATTTTGGGAAATATCAGATTGAGCGAGTGCAGGTGGAATTACGACTTGCCTGCCGCTAGGGGGCGCTGCTGTCTGATGCTGTGGAGGAGAATTTCTCATGACGTCACGTGTGACGGAGAGTGGCTCACAGGAGTTGCTGGAAGTGCTGAGGGCTCAAAATTTGTTATGACAGAAATTTTATTGATACTGAAGTCCGTCAAGTCCGTGCCCAATGTGATCTGACCACATTTTCTCCTGGCTTTTCTCACCATAACAAACGTGTTTTATAAACACAGTTACAGCAGTAAAAAAAATCTAACATTAAAAAGTCATAGGTCAGGAGCACAACTACTTAACACTTATCTCCACAACGGTGACTTCAACCTTTATTATTTTCAATAAAACATCAACATCTAAACCTCTGTTAATTCTCATTAAGAACTTTTTTAGATGCATGGCAATACAATCAGTCTGGTTAGATACGAGTGAAGCTGCTGCTGTTGCTGTTGCTGTTTGTAGAGTTGTTTAATCATATCTTGAGAGATGTAATGTCTTCTTTTATTTCAGTTGATTTCATCTAAGGCTGTGGTGAAATCAGCTGTAGTTCTTGTGTTTCTCTTTTCTTCAGTGATTCTGCTTGTTAACAGCAGCTCTTCATCACTAATGCTCAATCAGCACTTAATTAATCACATAATTATCTCATTAACTTTAACACTGCTTCAGTGTTACTTTAACACTCTTTTAGAGTGGGGCCATATATGCTCTGAGCAGTGTTAATTTAACACTCAGGATTTTGCTGTGTACGAAAAACAGTAAAATGCTGAATCATTTTTTTTCTTCCACTTTAAACGCGATTTACACCTTTAAAAAGTTTATTTTGCGCATGCAAATTTTTTTTACGCTTACATTCGTATGTACACTTCCACAATTCTTACTCTGCGAATATAAATCTTTATCTTTATTCATTACCGAACTTACATCCGTACATTTTCAGGACTCACAACAGCACTGTCGGAAACATAATGGACAAAGAATTTGTCGCGTTACACATTACACACTTGTGTTTCGTGTGTTTATGTGTGGTTTCGGTAACTTACAGCTCTGCAGACACGAGTGTGTGTCTGTGTGTCACATCTTCCACAAAGCTTCACGCAACAGTTTGTGGTTGATGCGCAAATCAAATGCCCCACCTCCACTTGGATGGTTTCGCGCCTTGATTGGACGTCACTGTCACTATGGTTACAGATTATTTTCGATTGGCATTTATTTATCATGATTAATTGTATCATTTCTTTATAGTCCATAAATTGAATGCACCCAGATCCACCCATCAATTTTTAGCCTTCTTGAGCTCTTAACTCGACAACAGATATTTATGAAACAGCATCAAAATGCAAAAGAAAATACAGACACAATATTACAACAATAATTAAATGACAAAACCTTTACTCAAAACTTGCACCTGCTCCAAGCGGGACTCAAAACTTGGTCGCCGTCATGAGAGGCGGGCACACTAACAAGGAGGCTAAACACCGCAGCCTCTAGCATCAGTCGCTAATGCACTTCTTGAAATCAGGGAGTGAGGTTTACCTGCAGCTGGCCTCCTTTACCTTCACCCCCCTAAACCTTGTGTGAGCCCCCCCCTTAATCATTATGCTTTTACTGGAGAAATTGATTTAGTGCCACATGCAAATAGTAAGGTGAACTGTGAAGTAGATGTAAATCCCATCCCTATGTATTCATCACGAAACTGCCGGCATTTTTGAGGCTCTGGTTTGGGCTTTTTTTTTAGCATGTTCGTCTTCTGCCGGAGGAGCTTGTCCTCTTTTAAGAAGCCACCTGTCCATTTAATCGCAACCTCTCCTAACCTACATTATTTCACGCGCAGACACTGCTCCTGATGCTGGATCCGGTTCTCAATAAATAACTCTAATAAATTGAAATGCATTTTCAATTTATTAGAACTCTCGGCGGTGCTGAACGTGCATTCTACGTTCTACATTCTACATGCATTCTACAATACAAGACATTAATTTTGTCAGACGCTCTGCAACGAATCCTCATTCGATGTTTCTTATGGGCCATTGAGGGTCTTTTTTGTTCACACTGAAGAAAATTTTAAATAATAAAAAAATAGTCCGGCCAATTCGAGGCCCCTGCACACGTGGGGCCCCTAGGCTGCAGCCTAGGCAAGCCTGTGCGTTAATCCGCGCCTGTGCACAGCACCTACCCGCTGGCCTCCGTTACACTTACATAAGTAAATATCTCATTATCCAGATGTTCACATTAACATACGTTAACATATCAACGAACAATGGTGAGATTCACTTGTTGATTTCTGCAGAGGTTTGATGGTATTCAGGAGTCTGTTGTAGTTTAGATGAGAGCAGACCAAAACCTGCACCACAATATGAATATATTCTCTGAGCTTTCCATGAGCTTCTCATGATCTGTGGGAAGAGAAGAGAATGTTTTCTTTCAGCAGAAGCAGGGCAACAAGACAAACCAGTTTTCAGCCCAGGCTGCATTTTTACTGTTAACAAAAGTTAGACTGAGCTGTGAATGTAAGTCCAAGAGCAGTTTCCAGTGAATCTGCATCTAGTTTCTAAGGATTGTCACTGAAGGTATGAAATTAACTTGAACGCAACTGCTATCAAGTAATGTTTATTATTGATTGAGCAGTATATTTACATTTTTGGAGCAAAACAATTTTATTTAGGTTTGAAATAAAGGCTTTGATTAAATGGTGTTTACACATTTCAGAGTAAATATTTGTTTGCTTCAAATACTGTATATATATTTTAAATGTATTACACTTCTTTCAGGCCTGGGAATTATGTAATTTGTGTTGCATACTGCGTGAATATGAATCTCTTTATTCAGATTTGATCTGAATGTACTATTAAAAGATGATTACATTTTAACTTCATTCATCTTAATAAAGTACTGCAGCATATAAAGCCTATTTTTACTTGGCAAATGTGCATTTTAATGTTTTGAGTGCACCTTCATGACAGATTACAAATTTGATAATATTCTATGATTTACGGATTGAAATATTTATGTTATCAATATTTCAATATTAGTTTTTCTATAATAACTAGAACTCTTTCAAATGGTTTATGCAACCTGAACTGTGAATAATGTTGAGTCAAATTTGTGTATAGCTTTTCAAAACACAAATCAGCTTTAAATAGCATCAAGCAACATTGCTGCAGCATTTATGACCAGCAATATCATGCCTCTGCCTGAATGTTTTCAGTGTAGTTTCTTTACAAAATGCAAAGTGCATTAAGGAACATATGTAGTTAATAAAATCAATAAGATCACAGAATATAATGATAGTTTGCAAATGTATTTCATCACCGTTTTAAATGCATTACATCCTAATTTGATATTTAGTGCTGCATTTTTACAGTCTTGTGTCTGTTTTAAATATATTTTTTCTTCTCCTGCACAGAAACACCAATGATAGAAGATGGCACCTGTTGATGAACTGCTTCTAAAGATTCTGGATGATCTGGACTCTAAAATACTACACAGGTTTAAATGGCTCTTAAAGAAGAATTATGCCTCTATTTCAACTGCTGATACTGAGAATGCAGAAGCCACTGGCGTAGTGGACATAATGATGGCACAATTCACACCAGCAGGAGCTGTGCAGGTCATGTTGGACATCCTGAGGAAGATGAACGAGAACCATCTGGCTGAAGAGTTAGAGAACGAATACAAGGATGGTAATGAAGGAGAAGCATTACAAATGCTACGACTGTAACATCAGAAATTCTCTGAATACATTTCTCTGTCTCTGTTTCAGTGGGGAATGCAGTGCAGACGAGCAGAGACGCTCACACTGTTGATCTGAATCCTCAATCAGGTGAAGCTGTAAATGCTCCTGTATTCTCAAGTCCAGTGACCGTCAACTCGAGCTCCGGTGCTGTCGGTATGACTATAACACTGATGACATGAAAACACTGCATGTAGAGTTCTGGTTCAATGCATATGATTCTGTTTTTTTTTTAAAGGTCTAGAGCAACAGTCCCGCAGTGCTGAGAAGAAATTACGTTTTCCAGTTTTGAAGAGCTTTTCACTTACAGGTCCGAGGTAGGAACATTTGCATTTACATTAATTACATTTTACAATAAGGTTAAATTTGTTAACATTAGTTAACATGGAACTAACGATGAGAAATATTTCTAAAGCATTTATTAATCGTAGTTTATGTCGATTTCAACATTTCTACATTATTAGAAGAAGAGGTTGTGTCTATTAATATTATTTAATGAACCTGAGCTGACATGAACTAACGATGAAAAATACTTCCAAAATCTACTGCAGTGCTGAGAAGAAATTGCATTTGCCAGTTTTGAAGAGTTTTCCACTTCCAAGGTAGGAACGTTTACGTTTGCATTTTTGCAAACACTTTACAATATGTTATGTTTTCTGACAGTAGATAACTTAACATGAACTAACAATGACCAATACATGTAAAGCATTTATTAGTCTCAGTTCATGTTAATATCAATATTTACTAATACATTATAAAAATCAAAAGTGTATCTGTCAATAGCCTACTGCTATTTATGTATATAGCATTTTATACAATACAGATGGTGTCGAAGCAGCATCACAGAGATAAGTAACAGAATCAATAAAATAACTATGGAGACAGTTCAGACTAAAACACAGTACTGACATTAGTCAGTTCATGTCAGTTTACTGTTGGTTCAGTTCAGATCAATAATATTGTGAAGTTCCACAATTATAACATGAGTTCAATACAAAAAGCAGCAATGTTGTTGTTCAGCTCAAGTCAGTTCAATGTTGATTTAATTCAGTTCAATACCTGTCAGTGCTGCCAGATGAGATTCAGCTGTAATTAAAGCAGCTGTACAGAAAACAACAGTGCTGTCATCCAGCTTAATTCAGCTCAAGATGTATTTAATCAACCTGATCTAACAATGGACATCTGCATTTTTATTAATTAACGTTAAAGATAAATAAATACTGTAACAAATGCATTGCCCATTGTTTGCATTAACTAATGGGACCTTATTGCATTTGGAGCCCGGTTTAATGAAAATGCGTATAAATAGTACGCCAAATAAAAACGAAAATTCATGGTATTGATACGTAAAAATGGACTTTGGCGTGCATATGATACAAAATTTGTTGGCGTACGCATCTGCCCCACAACCCTAAACCTACCCATCGCATAGCATATACACACCAAAGTCCATTTTTGTGTATCAATACCATGAGTTTTCGTTTTTATTTGGCGTACTATTTATACGCATTTTCATGAGATTGGGTTGGCATTTGTTATACACCATTATCTAAAGCAACTTGCATTGCATGCTAGCTACAGGCTATATATTCAGTACACGTTCAATATGCCACTGATATGGTACCTTTATTTGTGCTTGTTCTTCTACAGCATAAATGGCCGAGATTTGGAGATTAAACAGTGTAGGTTTAAATACACACACAAACATTTTCAGTGTTTAGCCAAAATACTTCCGTGCATTAAATGCTCTCTACATTTGTGTTCAGATGCCCGTAATCTTACACTGGATCCAAACACGGCCCATCCGAACCTCTGTCTGTCTGAGAGGAACCGCAAGGCGATGCACGTGAGAGAGAAGCAGCCGTATCCGGGTCATCCGGAGAGATTCGACTGGCAGCCGCAGGTTCTGTGTCGAGAGAGTCTGACTGGACGCTGTTACTGGGAGGTTGAGTGGAGCACGAGGATGTGGGTTGAGATAGCAGTGACATATAAAGGAACGAGATATAAAGGAGCTGATAATGACTTTTTGTTCAGCCGTAATGCACGCTCTTGGGTGCTGAAGTGTTCTCGTTACAGCTATCTTGCCTATCACAATAATCAGATGACTAATATACCAGCCTCTTCACCATCTAATAGAGTAGGAGTGTATCTGGACGTGTCGGCCGGCACTCTGTCCTTCTACAGCGTCTCTGACACACACACACTCACACACTTACACACATTCAACACCACATTCACTGAACCCCTCTATGCTGGATTTCTGCTTCAATCAGACTGTTCAGTGTCTCTCTGTGAGATTTAACAGCCTCTGTTTGGACGGCCTTTACACATATGATGACCTATATCATTTGTTATACTTTCAACATTTGGTAATTTGTTATGTTAAAGGGATAGTTCACCCATAATGGAAGTCAAAGTCTTTTAAAATATCTTCTTTTGTGTTCAAGGGAGGAAAGTAAGTCCATAGAGGTTTGTAACGACATTTACATTTCGGGATGAACTATAACTAGTGTTTCTATGATAATGAGAGTAAGAGAAGAATGCACATCACTTTGCAGCATTTGTTCTATTATGATTATCTAAAGCAGAAAAAACACGCTCATGTACTTAATGGTGTACAATTGTTATGTTCAATTTATTAAAATTGTTAAGAAAACTGCATTCAAGTGAAGGGAAAATAGCCAAAACATCAATCTGATTTGCTAATGGTTAATGATTATGTCACATCAAAACATTTTGATTCAATACACTTAATTTTACTAAAAAACTAAGTTTCTCAGAAGTCATTGCTTTTAACATTGAAATTGTAAAGTGTAATGTGTGTGATTTGAGATGTTTTGCATACTGTTCATGTGTAATACTATTACTATTACCTGTCTGAATTGAATATATAAAGACTGAAATCATAGAGACGTCTCAATATCACAGTGTTGACCACATTAAAAGTGCTGTAAGCCAATAACACCTGGAGAAATCTGTCTGTTCTCAAAGCCAGCTGAATGTGAAAACCTCTCCAAAACCAGCAAACCCCAAAACAGACCGAGAGCACAACTGTTTAACCAGTCTTCTGACCGACTAGATAATCACACACTGATACCCTGACTCATTTATTGTCCTTTACAGTAGCGCATTTACCTCATAAAACCTATTTCAGTGATATCCATCAGGCAGTAGAGACATTTTATGCACTGTATTAAGAAAAGAAAGTCATGTAAAGCACCTTTATGTTTAGTTCAACTACTAAAATGACTCAATTTCTTCTAATTAGAAATCTCTAACATATCCGAAGCTTGTAAAGATAATACTTTTTCTACCATCAATGTAAAAGGCTTAACTAGTAGTTTCAAGTTCTAACTCAACAGTGTGAGAAGTATGAGCTTGATTGCAGCCCAGTTATTTAGATGATTTTGTAAAATAATGTGTATCAGTGCCCCACTATGAAATGTACACAATAAAGGCTCTCTTTTTCTTATAGTGATAATTTTCCCTGCATGATGGCGCTGTAGAGCTCCTCCGTCAGACTCTCGTATCGCGCCAGACGGCTGTGGAGAAAGTAAAGCCGGTCGCTGGTTTGCCGTGGGTCGAATCCCTCCTTCTGTAAACGAGTCTTTTGGATTTTAAATGTGCCTGTGGTTAAAAGACATGAAAGATTTGACAGGAATACAGATTTTATGCTGTAAAAATAAGAATCAGTCAAATCCACAGAAAGAAAAAAAACTGGAAGCTGTGGTTGCCAGAACTTAATTGTAAAAAATGTATTAGCAAAACTTTAGGTTTTATGGATTGAATTTGCATTTGCAATTAAAAAGCATATTTCATTAACTGATATTATGTTCATTTACTATAAGTACTCAAATCTGTTTTGTGCCTTGATTATTCACCAAAAAGGAGGTAAAGAGAAAGTCACATAATGAATCAAAGCTCATCACAAATAGCTTTTCCACAAGCTGAAATAAATACTAATATATAGAAAGTGCACACAAATACAAAACACCATCATGGTAACACATGTGGCATTAAAATAATGTGATAAACATTAATTAAACAACATAAAATATAACAACAAAATACCATGAAAGGTGATTCTGGGAATGTCAATACGGTTTTCACTGTGAATTAAAAGTTGACTTTTTTTAATAGAAAAACTTATTTAGGTAATTAGAAACATAAATTAAAACGTGCTTAGTTACTTAGAAAAACTTAAATGTACAACATATTTAGTTATTTAGAAAAAGTTAAATTTAAAACTTTAGTTACTTAGAACAACTTAAATGTAAAACGTATTTAGTAATTAACTTTGAAAAACCTGAATTTACAAAATTTAGTAACTGATTTAGTTACTTACTTAGAAAAACTTACATTTAAATCTTATTTAGAAACCTACTTAGAAAAAAAGTTAAATTTAAAACTTTCACTTACTTTTTCTAGTTTATGTAGAAAAACTTAATTTTATAATGTATTTAGTTAATTAGAAAAACTTAAATTTAAAACTTATTTAGTTATTTAGAAAAAGTTACATTTAAAATGCATTTAGTTACTTCGAAAAATTTTAAATTAAAACTTTTGTTACTTAGAAAAGCTTTAGAAATAGTTTTAAATATGTTACTGTACGATATGCAAAGCCTCATTATAACTACTCCAGTTTTTCACAGTATGTAGTAAGGGAACTGTTAACTAATTAACATATTTTTTACCATAGCATTTTTACCATTAAATTTAGGATAATTGTTTACAGTGTGTGTTTGAGGAAAACACAGAAAATACGGAGGGAAACTGAGCATGACTCTGTTTCTGTCACCTGTTTTGTCGACCTCGGGTGAAAGTCGTAAGAAGACGGGGCGAGCGTATGAGGGAAGAGCGTTCTGCACATCTCGTAGAAACGTCTCACAGTTGAAGTCATTCGTCACGTCCACTATGGCAGCCATTCCTGCCTTCCCCTCCACACCTGATGAATAAGACAGAGTACAGCTGCAGTGACAACCTAAAGCTTCACAAACACACACTTTAATGTCTTTAAACATCTTCAAACACATGCGTTGACATCGCTGTATCATGATCTGGAGGTTATTGTGCCTGTGTTGTCTTCCATCTGATTACCAACCAAGTCAAACCCTGCTTAGCTTCTCAGAACAAACTCTGGGTAGAGGCATAACAGAGTACGAAAGCCCATTTTGAAAAACATAATCGTGAGAAAAATGTAAAAAAGTTGTATATGCTGGGAAGTCATATTGCGAGAAACAGGGTGACAGTGTAAAAGATAAATGTGCTACTGTGAGATATAAAGCTGCAATTACAAAAAAAGAGTTGCAAATGAGAGATTTAAAGTCACATTGCGAGATATAAAGTCACAACTTGGAGATATAAAGTATATAAAGACATTGAAGTATCTTTTATAAATGTTCCTTAGAAGAAAACATTACTGGTGTGCATCTTGAGACAAAACAATTGCACTGATATATTTTAAGATGCATTTTATGTCAGTTTAAACCGCTCAGACATGCAGTTTAGTCTGGGACTAGGCTTAAACTGTGTCTGTGAAACCGAGGGGTAAAGTCACAGTGAATTATAAAGTCACAATTGTAAAGAAAAGTTGCAATTGTGACATTTAAAGTAACGTTTAAAGATATGAAGTCACATCTGGGAGATAGAAAGCTGCAACTACAAGAAATAGTTGTAACATTTAAAGTCGCATTGAGTTATAAAGTCGCAAATATGAAAAAAAGGTGCAATGGGGAGATTTAAAGTCATGTTTCAAGTCACAATTGGGAGATATAAAGCCGCAATTACGAGATTTAAAGTGTCAACTGCAAGATATTCTGCCACAATTACCTGTGTATTTTCTTACAAAGAATCCCACAAAAAATAAAATAAATAAAACAAATGAATAAAATAAACAAAATTAAATTACAAGATTTAAAGCGTCAATTGCAAGATATAAAGCCACAATTTTATTTTTATTGTATTTCCTCTGAGGTTAAATGAGCTTCAGAGAGATGATTGTGTGCTTTAATTTAACAGGCACATACTTGCTTGGTTATTTTGCCATTTCACATTCCCGACAAACATCCACAGCTTCAGCTCTTCATCCACCTCAATACATAAAGCATCTGCAGCTCTTTTCTTTATATAAAACATCTACTGTTTATTATTTCTGCATCTGCAGACTCACCTGGCACTGAGACGCCGTAGACGGCCACATCCGTCTGATTCAGCAGAGCGCTCAGGATTCCTTCCACTTCTGTGGTGGAGACGTTCTCCCCCCGCCAGCGGAACGTGTCTCCGCCTCGGTCCCGGAAATACACGTAACCCAGCTCATCCATCACCATCAAATCACCTGAGACAGAGGAACACAGAGTCAGAGCCATCCATCCAGCACACATATGGACTAGCTCATCTCTGGAGAACTTCAGCTTTACCTGACACATACGCAGAGTCTCCCTGTTTGAAGACATTGTGAGAGATCTTTTTATTGGTGGCCTCTTGATTCGCGTAGCCATCAAAACGACGTAACGGATCATGTGGATTGATTCGGCCAACGATAATCCCTGGTTCTCCTAAAGTGTACAGGAAAATACACAAAAAAAACTTTGTAGAGCTGTATGTCTTAAGTATAGTTACACCAGGGTTATTAAAAATAAAAACATAAAAAGTGTTTTCATTACTTGAAATAAAATGTTAACTGAAATAATATATATATACATACAAAAATTCATACATACATACA